CTGCTGGGAATAGCGGGCAAGACAGGAGTGGTCTGCCATGCCATGTGGGACCCTCACGGGCTGGCCGGTATTGAACTGGTGCTGCAAAGGCTGCAGACAGTTTTACAGCGCGTCGCTCAACCGCCTGCGCCACCAGGGGAGGCCCTTGCATGTAAAACTTTTGCTGTTTGTACTTTTTCTAGTTTGTAGCTTGCTTTTTAAAGGTGTAATTGCTATATGGGAGAAATATTTTATAAATCCAAGATACCAATCTTATTTGTGCACTTGTGGTTGTCTTAGGATGTCCTTCTTTAGCAATTATATATTTCTGTTAGCTATTTTGAAAATATTGCACATGTTATCTGGCCTTTTTTAATTTTTTATTTTTTAAAGATTTATTTATTTATACAAGAACCGGGGTACAGGCCAGATGTGCGGGAGGGTGAGAGGACCTGCCAGAGACAGAGTGGGGAACAGAACAGGCAGACTGCTGATGGGCGCAGCGGGCTAGACAGGAGAGGTCTGCTGTGCCATGTGGGGTTCTCGCCCGCCAGCCGGGATCAAACTGGTGCTGCAGAGGCTGTGGACAGCTTCCCAGCACTGCGCTCAACTGCCTGGGCCACCAGGGAGGCCCTTACCTGGCCTTTTAGAGGACCTCAGATTAGGAATAGCTTTGAGAATATTTGTGTCCTTAACTTTCTTGCCTTGTTATAAGACTCAAGGAACAAATGAAAGAGAAAGTAGTAATTTCTGTAACATGAGCTTTCCATGGGAGAATGTAGGGTAGAAACCAAAGATTTATTGGAAGCTGCTACTCTCTAATACTGCATTTCAGCAAAAAAGAAATCTTTGCTTACAAAATGTTATTTACCTCTAAGATTATAGAGAAAGTGCCACTAGTTAATCCATAAAATGCCATTGATTATAAGATGTATATAATTTCTGAATTTTAAAAATCTGAACACATGTGGGTTTTAGAATCCATGAAATATGTTAACTTTGCAACACAGCCACTTTAAAAACTTGTGGTTAGTTTGTGTAGTTTTTTTTTTTTTTGTCTTGGCATTTTTTTTTTAAAGTAGCTTCATTGAGTTACAATTCATGAAAGTACCACACAATTCATCCATTTAAAGTGTACAATTCATTGGCTTTTAGTATATTCTTAGAGTTGTACAAATGTCACAACAATTTTAGAACATTTTTATTAACCTCAAAAAGAAATCCCCAAATGATGGAATATTACTCAGCCTTAAAAGGGAAGGTAATAATTTTGATATATGCTACCACATGCATAAACCTTGAAGATGTTATGCTAAGTGAAATAGTCACAAAAGGACAAATACTGTATGATTCCATTTATGAGGTGCTTGGATCGAATTCATAGAGCTAGAAACTAAAATTGTAGTTGCTGGGGGCTGGGAGGAGGGGGAATGAGGAGTTAGTGTTTGATGGATATAGAGTTTCAGTTGGGCAAGATGAAAAATCCTCTGGAGATGGATGGTGGTGATGGTTACACAACAATGTGAATGTGTTTAATGCTACAGAAATGTATACTTAAAAAATGATTACAGTGGTAACTTTTATGTTATATATTTCACTACAATAAAAACCAAAAGAGGGCCTCCCCTGATAACGCAGGCGGTTGAGCGCCACGCTGTGAAGCTGTCCGCAGCCTCTGTAACGCCAATTCGATCCCAGCCAGCCCGTGAGGGTCCCACATGGTGAGGCAGACTTCCTGTTCACCCGCTGCTCCCCTCAGCAGTGTATTTCGGTCCATCTGCCTGTTCTGTTCCCCACTCTGTCTCTGGTGAATCCTCTCACCCTCCCGCGCATGTGGCCTGTACCCCGGTTCTAGTGTAAATAAACAAATAAATCTTTAAAAAAACGAAAAACAAAAGAAACCCTATACACTTTAGCTATAACCTGTTTATTCCTCCATCTCCACACCACCGTCTTTAATCAACCACTAATCTGCTTTCTATTACTATAGATTTACATATTCTGGACTTTTACATGAAAGGAATCGTATAATATGTGGACTTAAAAGGTCTGTTTCTTTTACTTAGCATAATGTTTTCAGGGTTTGTTCAAGTTATGTATCAGTACTTAATATTCTTTTTTTTTTTTTTAAAGATTTATTTATTTATACAAGCACTGGGTACAGTCAGAAGCGCGGGAGGGTGAGAGAGAATTCACCAGAGCCAGACTGGGGAACAGAACAGGCAGACTGATGAAGTACACTGCTGAGGGGAGCAGCGGGCGGCAGGAGTGGTCTGTCACGCCATGTGGGACCCTCGCCCGGTGGCCGGGGATCTAACCAGCGCTGCAGAGGCTGCGGGCAGCTTCGCAGCCCAGTGCTCAACCGCTGCGCCACCAGGGGAGGCCTTTAATATTCTTTTTTACAACTAAATAATATACCCTTGCATGGCTGTCCACATTTTATTTATTCATCAGTTGATGGGCATAATATTTCAGTTGTTTCCAAAGTTTTTATAGTTATTTTGGGACTTGAAATTTTATGAATATAAGAAATAAAAACCTACTCCACACATACTAAGTAAAGGAGGACTTAGCGTAAGGCTGTGTATATATTTTAATACATATCTAAGGACAAGGAAAACTGTATAGTGGCTTCTCCTGGGTACTGACCCTGGAACAAATATTTGGGAGCTAAAGCAGTTCCTGCTGTGTCTCAGGTGGCTGCAAAAGGTACCTTGCCTCTGCTGCTCTCTACATGTATACCCTGTTTCCAGACTGGCATTCTCTGCTTCCCTGTGATTTCCGACCTATGCTTTGGCTTTTTACCTTAACTCCTGCTCTGGCTACTTTGTGGCTCTTTTCCTATAGCTGAGTTCCAAATGTGTAGAGAAGGATTTAGTTGGTTATCTCTGGTCCAGTTAGGATAGTGTACTTCATGTAACCTTGGTGTGTCATACCTTAATTATGGGCAGATATTCTAGGAGTGTGTGTGCTTGGACCTGGGGGTGACCAGCCTCTATAGGACAATAATCTAGTCAATCTAAAGATGCAATACCTCGCTAGGCCAGTCAGTAGTCATCAAACTTTTTTTCTCAAAACTCCTTTACATTTAAAAGTTATTTAATATTTCAGAGTGTTTTTTGCTTGTGTGGGTTATATACATTGTTACCATATTAAATATTAAAATAGGGAAATTTTAGAGCTATTCATTTAAAATAATATAAACTCATGACATGTTAATATAAACATTTTTAAAAGTATTCTTTTCAAATAAGACAATTTAATGAGAAGAAAGGCATTGTTTTACATTTTGCTAATCTTTAATATGTGACTGAAGAGAATATAGCTTGATCCTCATGTCTTCTGCATTTAACCTTGCAATATGTTGTTTTGATTGAAGTTATGAAGAAAAACTAACCTCATACAGATAAGTAGTTGGAAAAAGGAGGGAATATTTTAATAGTCTTTTTAGATAATTGTGACTATTCTTTGATACCATGCCAAAATTAGACAAGTGGTAAATGGTTAGTTGCCACGTAGAATCTGAAAGCATATCAATGAAATTTCCATATTCTGCTACATTAAATATTTGTCTTGTACCTTAAATATATGTTTCAGTCATGTATAATTTTATAACTTTCTGTTTTGGTTATTGTTTGTAAGAGATGATCCTTTGAGTTATGCAGCTATTACAAATGTTGACACATTTTATTATGTGATACCAGGAAGTCACACTTGCCTAATATCACCAGTCTTGCCAGAAAAAAAATTTAAATGTGGGGTAACTATTAAGTTCAGGTTGGCAGATACAAGTTTTTCCAAAATTCTAATTTTCACAAATTCTGATGACTCTTTTCCTTGAAATAATAGGCTCAATTTGTTATTCTTTGAATGCTTTCCCATCCCCAGTACCTTTTTAGGGTGTCACTTGGCAGCAGAATTATTTAATGCAGACATTTCCTCTGTATATATGTTTACCTTTCATATAATCTTGAATTCTTTTTAACAGTTGACTTTTTCAAAGTCCTATGATTTATACTCATGGATTTTTGTTTTTGTAATATGTAATTTTTTTTTTGTAGAAGGAAGACATTTACTGGGCAGTTGCTTTTTGTCAGTTCCCATGCTGAGATTTTTATATAGAAATTTACTCATCTATCCAAAAGTAGAGCATGCCTGCAAAACCTTTTAATAAGTTGAAATGGTATATAACAAAGATGCACTTGCCATTAATTTATATAGAAAAATTTTTTCATTCCCAGAACCCCAAAATAGCCTACCAAGTCACACCAAATAATACATAAAACCTGAAATAACACTTACATCTAGTGAAAGCAGAAATGGTTTAATACATAGCCTGCATAAAGGAGCTCACAGGGTAGGAACGTGGCAGTTTTACCTTCACTGCTTGGAGTGCATGCTGCCCCTTGAACAGCTGCAGCAAAACCAAAGCTGAACCTTATTTTTGCGTTATATAGTAAAAACAAAATACTCTTCAGACATCTTTTGTTTAGCAAAATCTTAGATTTTTCCTAAAAATGAAGTGGCTTAACATGAACTTTGAAAAGCAAGGCTACCTGTACATATTTTTACTTTACATAATTTCTGATATTTGTGATAAACTGAAGAACCCTTGCCATCTGACTACAAAACTGAGGCAACAAATGGGGAGGATGGTCGCCTGCTAGCTGTGGAGGGAGGGGGGCATAGTGGGGCATGGTGGAGGACTATTAGGGCTTTGGTAGTTGGCATGGTGTGAAGATAAACAATGGTAGAAGTTGAACCTGTAACCCCTAAAACAAATGCAGTGTTGTAAACCAGTATTACCTCAATAAACTTAATTGGAAAAGAAAGAAACTCTTTTTAAAGTGTAAATGAAAAGAGCCAGTAATATTTTTCTAACCTCAGTAATTTATATTAATAGATGAGAAAAAGCTTTTACTGGTAATTGTGGTTTTATTTATGTATTTATAGTTAAATTTATTAGAAATCCACCTGGTGCTTTAGTTCTTATCAATTCTATTTTTTCCCATCCTGTTTAGGTGGTTTCCTAGAAACATGATTGTTTGTTGGACTTGATCTCACATCCTGGTGAGGATTTCTTTACTGATAATGTCAAGTTCAGGTTATCCTCCCAACCAAGGAGCATTCAGCACAGAACAAAGTCGTTATCCTCCCCATTCTGTTCAATATACTTTCCCCAGCACCCGTCACCAGCAGGTAAGGAACAAATACCATACAGATTGTAAATGTGTGTTCTGTGTTTTTCTTTATTTCCTATTTAATACATTTATTAGTGAAATCAAATGTAATTTTTATGTGTATTTTTTTTTAATGGCAAGAACCATTTCTTAAAGTTTGGGGATTCATTTTCTGTGTTCTTACTGTGGCTTTATGTCATATTTCCAGGGGATGGCCGTATGTCTTATTTTTGATTATAGGAGTTGATGACAGAAAAATAATAGTTCCTTAGAGTTTCTACATTAAGATCTATGTTTATCTTCCAAGTTCTGGTTGAGTAATAAGCTAGCCAGATAACTTGGCCTGTCTTGAAGGATGGCCAGGATTGGGCTTGAACCTTCTTGAAAGATTTGATAGCAAGAAGATGAGTTTGCATAATTCATTTATCTTGTGAAAAATAAAACGAGGTGACATTTTCAGTTCAGAGCAGGCCAAGGACAAAGGTGCAAGAGGTGTTAAGAAAAAAAGTAAGGGAATGGATGAAATGATCATCTCAGAGAAAAAGAAAGCAGATTTACCTCAAAATACAGTTGAGTACTTCTGGATATTAATGAGGACTCCTTTGAAATGTAGTCATGATTACAGAGTGAGAATGGACATCCTTTCTTTGTTTTGTTTAGGGAAATACACAGTCTTTCACTATTAAGTATAATATTAGTTTTACTTTTTTTAGATACCATTTTTGGTTGAAGATGTTGCTCTCTATTCCTAGGTTGAGAATTTTTATCATGATTTGGTGTTATATTTTGGTTGAGTGTTCTCCCTCCTCTAATGCTATTTATCTAGTTACTAATTTTCTATATTACTGTTACTTTTTAAGAAAATCCAATTTGAGGGCCTCCTGGTGGTGTAAGGGTTAAGTCAACACTATCTTGCTATTACTACTTCAGCCTGGGTTTGCTCCCTGGCCACATGGTGAGGCAGACCACTCCTGTCTTGCCCACTGCTCCCCTCAGCAGTAGATCAGTAGATCTGATCAGTAGATCTGCCTATTCTGCTCCCCATTCTGTCTCTGATGAATACTCTCACCACCCCTGTACCTCTGGTCTACACCCCAGTTCTTGTATGCATAAATAAGTAAAATAAAAAGCTATAGATCAAGGATCCTTATCTTTTAAAAAAAATTCGACTTTGAGACTTGGTACTTATATACAGTACTTATATACAGTACTTACTACTGTACTTATATACAGTAAAAATTATATGTGTACATTTTGACAGATTTATATCTATCAAACCACCACCAAAATGAAGCTATAGAACATTTCTGTTACCTCCAAAAGTTCCCTTGTACCCCATTCAGGTCTGTCCTCTTCCATTTTCCACCAACTTAAGCTTCCAGGAAACCGCTGATGTGCTTTCTGTTAAAGATTTTGTCTTGAGTTTCATATGAACTCTTGTCTATGGCTTTCTTTGCATCCCTTAATACTTTTGAGATTTACCTCAAAAGTTCTAATGTGTCAGTGGTTTATTTCTTATTATGACTGGGTATGGATATACCATTTTATCCAGTTACCTCTTCACATGTTTTATTACAAATAAATTACTTAGCAATTGTGTATTTGTGTTTGATGTATGCAGATTATATAAAGAAGCACTGTCTTATTTTGTTAGCAGTTTCCTTTGAAAAGTACTTTAAATTTGTATCAATTCCAATTAACTTATTTTTATCCTTTGTATTTCTTTTTGTGTGATATTTAAGAAATTTTTGCAAAATCTACATCAGTAAGATTTTGTCCTATGTTTTCTTCTCTAAATTTTCTAATTATAGGTTATATATTTTGGTCAATGACCTGTTTTGAATTAAATTTTGTTTCTAGTATGAGGTAAAGGTTGAGTTCCACTGTTTCACATATGGGTATTCATTTATTCTAGAAATCATTTATATTGCAAAGATTTTTTTCCCCACCTTCAATTGTTTTGGTACTTGCATTGAAAGTTAATTGACTACATATGTGTAGGTCCATTTCTCTCTATATGTGTGTAAGAACAGGTATGTAGGCCAGAGGTGCTGGGGGTGAGAGGATTCACCAGACAAGAGTAGGGAGCAGAACAGGCAGATCTACTGAAGTATGCTGCTCAGGGGAGCAAAGGGCAAGACAGGAGAGGTCTGCTGCACCATGTGGGTTAGTGCCCTGGCAGGGGATGGAAGTCATGTGCAGTGGCTGGTGATAGCTTGATAGTGCTGAGACTTTAACCCCTGCGCCACCAGGGAGGCCCCTTTACTGAATTATTTTGTCTGTCTTACCTTTATCTGGTTTTCTGTGTAAACTAACATTAAACTTTTAATAAAGCACTTCATACTGTCTTGATTATTATGGTAGCTTTATACATTGATATTAAGTAGTATTTTTTCCTGAATTATTTTGAATATTCTACATCCTTAGCTTTTCTATATATATTTTAGAGTTTATCAGTTTCTATGCAAAGGCTTGCTGGGAATTTTGATTGGATTGTTTTGAATCTAGAGGCTAATAAGAATTGACTTGGAATCTTCTCATCCATGAATATGCTATATCTTTTCATTTATTTAGATCGTCATTAATTTTTCTCAGTTATGTTATGTAGATTTTTTTTTGAGATTTATTTATGCATACAAGAGCTGGGGTACAGGCCAGAGGTGTGGAGGGGGCGGGGAGGGGATTCACCGGATACAGAGTAGGGAACAGAACAGGCAGAGTCAGGAGAGATCTGCTGCGCCATGTGGCTTGCTTCCTGGCTGGCAGGAGATTCAAACTCATGCTGCAGTGGCTGTGGACAGCTTCATAAGTTATGTCTTAACCTCTTGCACCACCAGGGAGGCCCTGTTTTGTAGATTTTCATACATGGGCCTTATACATCGTTTGTCAGATGTTCCTAAATATTTCATAGTTTTTGATGCATTGTAAATGTTGCTTTTTGAATTTTAGTTTTCAGTTGCTCATTGATGCTATGTATGTTGGTTTTTGCATTCTGCAACCTTATTTATTCTGGTTGCCTTTCTAGTAGATTTTACAGGATTTTCTATGTGTATAATTATCTAATCTGAGAATAAAAACAGTTTTGCTTCTACCTTTCCAAACTGGGTGCCTTTTCTCCTTATTGCACTGCCTGGAATCAGGAGGTGAGGAGGCACAACCTTGTTTCTGCTCTTAAGAGGAAGATATTCAGGGTTTTTTGTTTTTTTTTTTTTTTTTTTTTTTTTTTTTTTTTAATCATTAAGCGTGTTACCTTGAAAGTGTTCCTTTTTTGGTATTTTCTTAAACTTTGTATGTATGGTTTTTTTTTTTTTCTTCATATGTTTGACTTATCAGTGAAATGGGGTATATAATTTTCTGTGTTTAAAGATAGTGAACTTGATTTCTGCAGTACTTATAATTCGGTTTATTTTTTCTGAGTCAGTTTGGGTAAATTTTTTTGTTCAAGGAATTAAATTTATGGACATAAGTTATCATATTATTCCTTTATTTGTTTTGATGTCTTTGTGATGCCATTCCTCATGTTGATGATGCTTCCCTCCCAGCTTTTTTTATCAGTCTATCTAGAGATTTATCAATTGATTAGATTTTTTTTTTTTTTTTTGAAGAACTAGCTTTGGTTTCATTCATTTTTACTTTTTTTTCCCACTGATTTCTACTCATTTCTTTCTTCTTTCCGTAATTGCCCACATATACACCATTTCTGACCCCTTTCATTCCTTTGTATATATTCAGGTTTCCTTTTGATGTCATTTTCTTTTTGCTTCAATAACCGTATTTCTCTCAATGCAGGCCTTTTTGCAGTGAATTCTCTCAACTTTCATTTACCTGAAATGTTTAACAGAATTTATCTGACTTTCTAGTTCACCTTGACAAATATTTTCACTGGACACAGAATTCTAGATTGATAGTTGTTTTCTTTCAACTCTTTTAAAATTATCATTCGTTGTATTCTTGCTTGTGAGGTTTCTTTTGTCATTCTTATTCTTTTAAATATATACACACACACTTTCACACACAGACATATGCATATATGTGTAAATGTATCCTTCCCTCTACCCCCATTACTTGAAAGATTTTTTTCTTTATCACTATTCTGCTGTTTGATTATGGTGTGACTTTCTTGTGCTCTTTGAATGTTTATGCCGTTGTCTCTAACGTTCACTTAGCTTCCTGCCTCTGGGAATTTATAACTTTCAAGAAATTTGGGCAATTATTCAGATATGTTTTTGTTTCCAACTGGTTTCCTTCTGAGACACCAACTATTCGTATTTTGCGTTATACTGTATATCACTGGACCTCTGTTCATTTTCTGCTTGTGTGTTTATGCATTTAATGCATAAAAGATCCTGTTCAATGATCTTTTCTTTTGCAGTTTTCAGCCTTCTGTTATTTCATCCAGTGAAGTTTTATTGCAGACACTCGATTTTTCAGTATTGATTGGAATATGAACACTGAAATTTTATGCTTTTCAGTGCTGGCTTTTGGCGTATATATATATATATATATTTTTAAATTTTTTGTGCATACAAGAGCTGGGTATAGGCCAGAGATGCAGGGGTTGAGAGGATTCACCAGAGACAGAGTGGGAAACAGAACAGGCGGACTGACTGAAATACACTGCTGAAGGAAACAGCGGGCACGACAGGAGAGGTCTGCTGCGCCATGTGGGTTGCTCCCTGGCCGGCTGGGGATTGAACTTGTGCTGCAGAGGCTGCGGATTGCTTCACAGTGTGGTGCTTAACCCCTCGTGCCACCAGGGAGTGTGTTGTATTCTTTAAAGAATGTTGGATTCTAAATAGGCAAGGAAGAAGTCAAACTATCACTATTTGTGGACGATATGATAATATACTTAGAGAACCCCAAAAACTCCACAGAAAAACTAATTAATCAATCAGTTTAGTAAAGTGGCAGGATACAAAATCAACGCACAAAATGGGCCTCCCCGGTGGCGCAGCGGTAGAGCGCTGGGTTGCGAAGCTGCCCGCGGCCTCTGCAGCGCCGGTTCAATCCCCGGCTGCT